TGCCTAAAGAAAAGGTAAGGTTTTACTCCTACTATGATGGTGAAATTTAAATGTATTAGACATATATGAGTCTGCCAATGGTGATCAATGTTATTTTGGAATAGAATGAGGATTTCATCTCCACTCTTAGGGGCGCAGAACAGGGTGTGGTATCCGGGTCTTGAGTCTTAAACAGGTTATACAATTTAACTATTTAGCGCCTTGAATAGGGTGTCTTTATGGACCGGTAGCCTTAAAAAGATTGTGAAGGTTGGTGATGAACGGTGTTGAAGGAACAAATGTAAAAGGCACAAATGTAATAACTGGTCACAAATGCAATAAAGGTCACAAGTGCAATAACATTTGTTCACAAATGTAATAAAGGTCACAAGTGTAATAACATTTGGTCACAATTGTAATAAACATCTAGAGTAAGCTAAAACAAATTAAAATCACAACGAAATCTAAAATCCCACAGAGGACATTCTCTCCTACGCTTTTACACCACACTGTGCACGAGTAAAAATTTTTAAAAATTTAAAAAATTTCAGAAGATATCACATCAAATCAAAGGTGAGCTGAATAGCTAAAATGTCACAGGAAATTGTATAGGTAAACTCTTTCCTTAGGGGATATCATGAGTATGTGACTGAGTGGGAACTAAGATTGGGAGTCTTTTATACACTCATGCCGAACCTAACAATATAAAGAATCCAAAAAAACGTTCTGACGACTCAACAATAGAAAGGTCATAGTCAACGGGAAACGAGTAAAGAGAGTTGGTGTAGAATTGGCCTTGAGGTTCCATGTGAGTATCAGTTTCAAAGTGACAGTTTTTCTTGTTGGCTGCAACGGAAACTGGAAAAAGAGAAATTTAACGTATGCTCTGGTAGACCCACCACAGAGAAGTGTATTTGTCTGTAATTCATACCGGCAGATTACAATGTAATGCTGCGTTTGATGAGCTTTGAAAGAGACTGGACATGCTTCGCTTGTCTTAAAAGTATTTTAACAATGAATCAGTTTGGACCAGTTGTTTCTAAATAAGAGCGAAAATCGCGAACAAAAGACCATTTGTCAATGCATCACCCTGACGAGTTTGCTTAGGTCGCAGATTATGTGTGTTTTTCGGAAGTGCGTTTCAGAAGGGATTTCTAACGTCAAAACATTATACTTTTTGGGGGAATTTACCTTTGAATTCAGCAATGGTATCTCTCTGAAATTTATTCTGAATTTTAATGACAATAAAGTTTTTGACGAGCACTTAATCCGAAAAGCCAAAAATTTGTAGAGGCAGTGGACAAAAGATTGGGGGCCATAAGAAATTTAACTAAATCATACGAATCTACTTTTATCTACTGTTTACATGTTCCATGGGTAAAAAGTTAGCATCTGCTTTGTGTAAAGAAAACATAATCGAACCCAAGGAGCCACAGGAAAACGCATTTTTTTCCTCTGGTTTTGTTTTTTTATTGTTTTGATGTTGCTGAACTTTATTTTTTTCTCAAATTTGTATGATTTTCAAACTTCCTATTTAAAGTAAAGTTGTTATAAAAACTACCATACAATTGTATGGCTGATGCAGGTTGTTGGTTAAACTGTCGTCATTTCATTATTTGGACCTCTGAAAACAAACGGATAGTTTTCTTACTGTCGATGCCGCCAATCTTTGCGAGTCCCACAAATGGCCAACGGTGAAACTTTCAATTTCCCCGTTGCCTAGCACGTGAGCTTAATTCTACTCCAAAGTAAGCGTGCAGATTGATGATTTCATTCACGACTGCTTTAATATGTTTTCGAGGAAGGCACAATCATCTTCCTTTCCAGCTCTTTGTCGAGTGTGCAGTACTTTTAAGGATGTAAATAGAGAATTTATTTATTTATTTATTTATAGATTCGTACAATGTACAGGGGAGAGAACAATAGGACACGTAGTCCCCTACTTGGTTCACCCTCCTAATCCAACCCCATAAAATGTAGAAAAACCAACCCCTTACCCCAAAAAACTAGAATTAAATATTAATAATATACTATAGATATCAACCTAAGAAGTAGAAAGAAAACATGGAAAAGGTAATAAATCGTGGACTACAATGATACTAACAAGAGCAAGCTTGCAGTCCTAAAAATGATTAATTCGGGTGCAGAGGGGGGACAGGTCGTGTTGGCGGAGACCAGGAAGGTGATGGTGGAAGTAGAAGGGACACAAGTGTTGTTGGCAAAAATGGGTGCGACACAAGTGGTGATGGCAAAGGTAAAGACGATGAAGGTTATGTTCTCAGAATTGACGGGGACACGGAACAAGTTGGCAGAAGTAAGGGGGATACAGTAAGTGAAGGTATAAGTCGCGCGGACAAAAATGACGAGCTACAGAATGGAGTAGGATCAGGATACACAGGGCAATTTTTAAACAACGATGTGCTAGAAAGTATTATTACGATTACCTTAAAGTCCTTTCCGTTTATGAGAACATCCCTACGAGGTGTAAATACCTTCGTCAGAGAAACAGTAGACAAGATGCCTTGCCCTACGGTATACATTCCAGAACTTGCAGAAAAAATAGTCGTCATAAGCATAAAGAAACTAGTAATGCTGAAGGGGAGATGCAGTAGTGCTGTTGAACGCCTTCGGGCAGTTATTAAATCCCCTAAATGGTATCATGCATGGGTGAGGTTAGTTCCTCTAGAATTTGGATGGTTTGCAATATCTGGCATTTTTTGGAAGAATATTGCAAACACACGTTAATAGAAAAGCGTGCCAACCAAAGAAGAACATATGTTCCTCGTTTAACGCCAAATAAGGAAGCTTGTTTTTGGATTTGCCAAAGACTGATTAGCCATATTGTTTCGCTCTAGGCTGATAAAACTGTGTTCTTCTCAGAGAAAATTCGTGCTTGGTGTATTAATTAATAGGACTGATGTTCGGTTCCCATACTTTTTTGTATGCACAACTACAGTTTCCCTGCCATGTATAGCAGGAAAGCAATTCGAAGTCCTAATTTGATAACCACAAGCCTTTCTTTTTCAAGGTTGTAAGTTAATCTTCAGATTTAATGAGATTAAACCATTGTTTTGAGGTTATAGGTTGTCTTAAGTCCTTATTTCACTATATTGCAACAATAAAATTTCCGCCAGGACTGTGTGATGAACAGGTGACAATACAGTCGCATGTTGAAACTTCTCAATGCCGTCATAAACCAATTAGCAAGTTTACATGTAATTCGTATGAGGGTAACCTATCGTGCTTAACCAATTCCGGTCTCCTTCGCAGCCGTCCGTCTGATGCCATCAAGAAGAGCTATTTGAGGCATTTTCCGGCCCCTATCTCGCTTAAAATTAAAGGTTCCAAACTATCCGAAACTTTGCATACCTGTCGAGTATTACGCTGGTCGTGCTGTTCCCAAAGCTTAATAATAGCTTGCGAAGCTCGGACAAAAGACTTTCACCGTCCACTCAAGTTATGCCTTTCGCTTTCCCCCTCCCCACTTCTTTTGGTTCTCTTCAACTTCCCGTTCTTTACGTTTTTCTTAGACCCTTTTGACTGAATTCCCCTTTTTTTGGATATGATTTGAAAGTCATCTTTGCCCTGCACAATTCAGAATACAAAGTTATATTACCTTTAATTTATGTCTCTGAGTGAGTTACTCTTTTTAAATTGTTCAGTTGGTAATTATTACATTTGTGATCAAATGTTATTACATTTGTGACCTTTATTACATTTGTGACCAAATCTTATTACACTTGTGACCTTTATTACATTTGTGACCAGTTATTATGTTAACGGTTTACTTGTGGTACCAACGTTTCTCCGAATAATATCCATTCATGATGTTACTTTATAAAAAATTTCTTAATTCAACCATTTTTTTCCCCACAGGAAAAAAAATAAAAATTTCAAGCAAAAATACCCACCCGAGCAACAACTTGTTTCGTGTAGTGTTCCAGTTCTTCGTTTGACAGCCGATTTTGCGCGTGTATTCCAAAAGCTTCTAACGGACCGCGAACTTAAGCCTCTCTTTCCAGGATATGCCTCTTGTAGCAACAAACTGACTTGTGAATGTGTTTTTTTTCTGCGTCACAACAAGATCTCTCACGAAATCGACGTTTACGGCGTCCATATTTAGGCTGAAACAGCACTCCATCGAACTCCAAAGTTGTATTTCCCGCTTCTTTCCCAAGGCTAGTTCCCAGGACGTATCCGACATTAAAGATGGCGGACAATTGCAATCCTGTCTCCCTTCTACCCCCCATCCCCACTCCTCCTGGGCACTTCTGCACTTGGGTCCTTCCCTCTTGGTACTTTTGTCACTTAGAGCGTGATCGATTGATCAATTCTTCGTCCAAAAACAAAAATTGAAAATTGATCGCGACATTCAATTTTTAATTTTTTTTCTAAATTCACGTCATTGTAGTTAACAGGTGACTGCGGAAACGATTTTCCCGCGAATAGGTAAAATATCCATGGTTTGATAACCGTGTTAATATTGATTGTAGCAAATACGAGCTGTGTGTTCATTTTCTCATTTTTGTTTACAGGGGGAAAAGGTAAAAAGAGTTATGAAACATGTTTATCCCTTATACAGGAAGGAAAAAAATGGAAAATCAAAAATTGACATCGATTTTCAATTTTTAATTTTGAATTGAAAATTAAATGGACGAATGACCCACGGACCGGTTTGACCCTGTAATATCATTGTAAATCGAAAAAGGGAGACCGATTTGACCCTGTAATAACAATGTCAATCGAAAAAGGGAGACTGATTTGACCCTTTAATAACATTGTACATCGAAAAAGGGAGACTGATTTGACCATGTAATAACATTGTAAATCGAAAAAGGGAGACTTATTTAATTTCACCCTGTAAAAACCTTGTTGATCAAAATTGGACCTGTGAATCTCGCGGTAATAAGTGAGCTATTAACGCATTTATTTGGCTTTTATTTGCAGATTATTTTTACTGTTAATATTAAAAATACATCCACATTTAAGCTTTGCATGTAGAGTAAGCTTTGCATGTAGCTTTGCATGCATGCGTCAACAAGACAATTAACAAACACGCCCCTTTAAGAAGTATATCCAATCGTAAACAAAAATTCCTTGCTAAACCATGGCTGACTGCGGGTTTAAGAAAATCAATCGGGGTAAAGAATAACCTCTTCTATACCTCAGACCGTGACAAATACAAATTTTACAGAAATAAAATCATTTATCTTACGAGATTAAGTAAAGCGAACTACTACCAAGGTTTCTTTGATCTCAACATATGTAATATGCGTCAAACTTGGACAGGAATTAACGAGCTAATTGGAAACTGTAAAAAGAAAAACAAGCGCAACTCAACTAACTCTATTCGCTCAAACCCGAATGAGGTTCCAACTAGTGACCCGAAGGAAATAAGCAATATTCTTAACAAATATTTCGCCACTGTTGGGAGCAAACTGGCTTCTAAAATTCCTCAGACCATAAATACATTCTATGATTATTTAGATCCGCCACTTAATCGCACTTTCTTCTTTGATCCTATTATTCCGGAAGATATCAATTTAGAAATTTCAGTTTTGCAAGACAACAAGGCCTATGGTCTCTACTCATCTCCAGTTAGGCTGCTGAAATTGGCAAAAAGGGTCATATCCGTACCTCTAGCCACGATTTTTAATCAGTCTATTTGCTCAGGGATTTTTCCATCTAAACTAAAGTGTGCTAAGATTATCCCGATATTTAAGGACGAAGATGACACGCTGCCCGAAAACTACCGACCTGTTTCTGTGCTCTCGATTTATAACAGGATTTTTGAAAAACTTATGTACTCCAGAGTTACCAAGTTTGTCAAAGATTGCAACATTCTCTATGATCAGCAATACGGTTTTCGCAGTAAGCACAGTACTCAGCATGCTGTACTTGATATTGTTAACACAATTCTCCAAAACATGGACAACGGTAAATTTTCGTGCGGGGTTTTCATCGATCTCAAAAAGGCTTTTGATACTGTTCAATGAAATTTTGTTAGCTAAACTTGAAAATTATGGTATTAGAGGTGTAATCAACTCCTGGTTCAGATCATACCTGACTGATCGGAACCAAACGACGGAAGTTAATAATGTTGAGTCTGAGGCTGAAACGACCTTGTGCGGCGTGCCACAAGGCTCAGTCCTCGGACCACTCTTATTCCTACTGTACATCAATGATATTTACAAGTCCTCTTCGTTATTTGCCTTTTATCTATTTGCTGACGATACTAGTATAATACTTGCAAATAACAACCTAAAGGAACTCGAAACACTTGTTAATCGCGAGCTTGGCAACGTCAACGAATGGCTAAAGGCCAACAAACTGTCCTTGAACATAAAAAAATCAAATTTTGTAATCTTTCGTCCCCGGCAAAAGAATATGCCCTTCATACCTAGGATTAGAATTTTTGACTCCGTGACTAACACCTACGCAAACCTTGACATGAAAGATTTTGTAAAATATCTTGGCTTAATGATTGATTCAAATCTTTCATGGAAATACCACATCGAATCTATCTGTCACAAAATCAGCAAGTCGATAGGAATTATAGCTAAGATTCGACATTATGTCCCGCGTCGTGTTTTACTTTCAGTTTACAACTCATTAATTGTCCCTTACTTGACTTATGGTATTTGTGGTTGGGGAAATTGTGCCTTGACATTTCAAAGAAAGATCGTAACTCTACAAAAACGGGCCTTACGTCTCATCTACTTCAGTAAGTCTAAGGAACACGCCGTACGTTCTTTCTCAAATCAAATTGCCTTCCCCTGCCTAGCATATTTTTCATAGATTGTAGCTATTTATTGTATGATATCAACAGACAGACAGCACCAGTTAGTATTCTCAATCAGTTCGTTAAAACAAGTCAGATTCATAACTACAGAACAAGATCTGTCTCTAGCGACTCATTTTATGTTAAGTTCTCTAGAACCGATAAAATGTATGCTTTTTTCACGAGAATCGGTGCCCAAATTTGGAACTCTATTCCGTATTCGATTAAAATACTTAAACGTTCGTCCTTTCGTAAAAAAATAAAGGAATTATTACTAAATTTTTTGCGGTCAGAAGATGATTATGTCGAAATCTCCCGTCTTATTAAGTTATTTAATACTCTAGGTTAGCCTCTCTTCGTAATCGTTATGTACATGCCTTGTTTTACGTTAGTTTAAATTCTATTTACTGTATTGTAGTGTCTTCACTGTTATTTAGTCCGTCTATATATAAATCTTGTTTTGTAATATGTCTTCAGCTCCCCCCGCCTCGATTAGTTCATAAGCTATTTGTGGGTGGGAAAGTAATGTAATTAGTTATTTTCCAATTTTCAATAAAATTTGTTGTTGTTGTTGTTGTAGACATAAATGTTAACTGTTCCAATATGTATATCAAGGGTTCTCAAACAGAATCTGCCCAGAGAATACAGGAGATCCTCTTTTGATGTCCTTGGAAACAAAACACACAATTTTTTACATGCAGCTTTAAGGTTCCTCACGTTTGCTGATGTTGTCTTTGCTTTAAAATAATACTGGGCAACTATGACTGCTTGATCCCAAGGTACCTGAAAAAAATGTAATTACCCATTAGGACAAACCTACAAAGTTGGTGAAATACTGTAAAAAGTTTTGTACCTAACTATGAAAATGTTGATATGATTCTTGCAAACAAAACCAGAAAAAAACGTTTACCCCTTTGCCTGAGCTAACAATGCTCACACATGCTCCGGTTGTCTAACACAGCATGTGTACATGTACATGCTCAAATTGTCTGTCCCTGACAGAGTTAACACAGCAGCGCGAGCCAAAGTGTTTTATTTGAGAAAAGAATGGAGAGAGGTTGGCCCGGCTAGGAGAGTGACCTGACAAGCCCAGAGCCAACTTTTGTTTTGCATGAAAACAGTTCACCACATTAAGTACATAATTAATTTAAGAAAACTGGCTTTCTCATGCTACAATGTAGCTCGGGTGAGACTAATGAACATTCTACTAAAGGCAAATTTTCTCCAAATAAATGGGGGCTCAGTGGTTGAACTAGCCTTGCTTAACAAAACAACAAAATTAATACTATACTTTTCACTTTGGAGAGATGAATAGAGCAATATAATGCTTATGCGTGTTTATGTTAAAATTAATTAGCAAACTTCACCACCAAGTCTCATTTTTGGTATACTATAATGAAGTCCCAAGCAGGACAGGAAATAAGCCAGGTCTGACTTCACAGGGCAAAGTAAAAATAGAAGGTTTTTCTGTCTGAAAGTGTCACCTTGAGGTGATAATTTCCAGGCAGAAACTATATTAAAACAGAAGACTGCAAGATGAGTAAGAGTAACACAATTAGTTGAAAGCATGAATCAATTAAAAAACCAAGTGCATGTTTAATTGCTCGTGTTACTCATCCAATCATATTGGTCAAATCCAGTAGATGCTAGAGCTGTATCCAACACAGATTAATTTTAAGTACTAGTAATCTTACAAAATTTGTTATAATCTATTACTTTCACCCATATGCTAGACAGTACCTTAGAACTTTTGAGGCAATGTGTTCCCTTAGGGCAAGTAACATTTAAGTGGGAAAAGTGAAAACTGAAATTTTCTGGGCAAGTGGATTTCAATTTTTTTTCCTGCCCTGCCAAGGCTTAACAGTTGAAAGAATACCCTTGCACTAAGAGTTAATCAGCATTTACGCAATTGACATAATCATGCATTAGAGCCATTTGTAGGCACATTAGCTGTCAATATTTTGGACCAGGAAGGTTTCACAGTTCTCAATATCATGGGTCATGTAGCAGCTGCTCGAAAGAGAAGTCACTAATGGTGCGTTTCCCTGACCCCAAACAATACAAAAACAATTGGAAGAATGACATGCCATTGCTTCCTACGACCAATTAGGGGAGCTGACCGTACGAGCAGCTCCTACACTAACATATCTCATTAAAGACCTTTAAGACGTGCATAATTATCATAAATGTACAGTGTATAAGAGCTGTAATCAGTACACTGTATTATTGTAACACAGTAAGTATAATGACATGTGTATGTTAAACAGGTACAACAAAACCTTGTTCAGCAGATAAACAGACATCTTCACTTTAACGCAAACAGGCTGTCCCAAAATAATTTATTACCTTCCTGATTGTTTGAGTAACTTGACTACATGTACAGCTATTTCGAGAAAGGTTGTCAGAAAAAGTACACGCAACAATCCCGAAAGGTATTGTGGGTGATTTTGAGCTCACTGTTCTTCAAAGATAATTATTTGCAAGAATGGCACTACAGACAATGGACTTATGTTTGCAATTGCTAAAGGAAAGCAACAAAAAGTTAGTACAGTGTCAGGAACAGTGTATTGATCATACCCCATATTACCCTTTGTCGCATACAGATTTTTTCTGACAACCTTTCTCGAAATAGCTGTATAGACACCTTATACTGGTACAACCTTTATGATGAACAATATTTTTGCAATGTGTTGTTCCTGGAAATCTCCACTCTTAATTTTGCCTGAAACTACAGCTTTAACGCATAAATACAAAACCAAAAACACATTACCTGGAACATTTCAGCATTACTGAATTCTTGAATGGCATATAACAATTATGCTGTGGTTCAGTTTTATCCTTGGTTTAAATCTTTTTTTCTTTGGTTCAAGTTCATTATCATTCATACATGTACATGTAACCCTCAGGGATATCGCTAACAGCCTGCTCTCAGTTAATATCACAGACTAAAAGAGAGCTTACCACCGGGTCAAATTGCAAAGGAAAACAGAGGCATGGGAGAATTTTACAGATGCAGTTGAGTAAAAAAGCTGGCTTTACTAATAGGTTAATTAAGCCTGCTTATCTTTTCCTTTATAGCTACATGTACACTGTACAGGCCATCTGATATTATGCAATGGTGCGATTTCGCACAATTGACCTCGAATCGCATCCGATCGCACAGTTGAGGAAAATCGTATAATTCGTGAAAAAATGCTAAATTCAAGTAAAGTAAACAATCAATTCTATAGGAAAATTCATTACCTGACGAGGGAATTCCACGTTAAATCAGTTGCACGCAAAAACCGATATCGCGATTCGTGTGATATCGGTTTTCAAGTGCAATTTAATGTGGAATTCACAAGAATTGAATCGCATAATTGAATAAAAATCAGAAAAAAAAAGAAAACAGCAATAATATTTTATTGTTGTTTTTATCCTGAGCGCACCCTCCAAAAAGCCATTTCAAAGTCAACTGTCAGAACTGTCATTACGTTAGCGAAAAGGAAGCAAGGTCAGTCGTACACGTTTGAACCTTTGACAACTTTTTTTGTACCTTGTGCTTGTTTTACATTTGTTTTCAAACTTTTTTTACATGTAAACAAGCTTCACACTAATTGTAAGGATAAATAGAGGTATTTCACTAAATTTACAAGCCGTTTATCTGTAACATCTTTTTTCAAATTGGTCATTTGCTCGAGAAGGAAAATAATTTACACCTTTTGGCTCTTCGGTGGCAAAACTGAAAAAAATGAAGTGTCCAAGCGAAAGCACTGAAAGTTTAAAGTCGCGATTGATATAAGGTAATGTCGTCTTTGAAGCTATAATTATGTGACAATTGACCCTGGCACTTCCTCCTTTGTC